GAGAGGGTAATCAAGCATTGGAACAGCCTACCCAGAGAGGTGGTGGATTCACCATCCCTGGAGGTTTTTAAGCAGAGATTGGATGTGGCCCTTAGTGCCATGATATAGTAATTGGAGTTGGATCAGGGGTTGGACTTGATGATCTTGGAGGTCTTTTCCAACCCAATCTATTCTATGATTCTATGATCTTCACAGGGGAAACCTAAGAAAAGATAAGACACACATGCTACACAGGCAGGTGAGCTTGAGTTATAACCTGGTTACTGACAGCTAAATGCCCATATAGACAATTATCTGAGGAAGAAATAAAGTCTTACAAATAAATATTAACAGAGAAATTACTAGGTTTGGTCTGCAGTTAAAAAATGGGGGGAAAAAAATCACAGTTCCTGTATTCTGAGCCAAATATGACCTAATCCCCTTTTAGAAAAAAGTATTACCTGATCAACTGTAAAGACTTTGATCCTTTCACTTCCCAACCATTTCTGAAATTCTTTTTTCCAGTTTTTTACCAGACTCCCAGGGGTGACAATTAGCGCTCGCTTTAGTACAGGTTTGCATCCATAGGGCCCTTGACGCAGAAGAGTCCAGACAAGTGCAATGCATTGCAGTGTTTTTCCTAAGCCCATTTCATCAGCAAGAATAGCTCCAAATCTGCCACTAACTCTGTAAGACACAATGAGGCAGTGGTAATATTTTAAAAGACATATCTATAATTATTTACAACTGGTTTAGGGATTTGCCTCTTTGCAAGAAGCAAAGGGTTGTTTTCTGAAGTATAAAGAACCTCTTTATACTTACTATGCTCTACTGTAGGTTTTCATTCAGTTATACCAGAAGATCTTAGAGTGAAAATCCTTTTCTACATTATTGCGTTAGTCCTCCAAAACTAAAGAGTTTTAATCTACTTTTAGAATTAAAATTATTATCCAATATTTTTAAAAGTTGTGTATACCTTAAGGAATCTATGACTTGAGAAAACACTTTTGAAAGCAGTCCTGTATTTTTCAACAGGCTGGCAAAACAGCTTGTTTATTCTAAATGTCTGAATTACAAATTACATGAATCATGATGAATTCTATGATTTATAAATCCCAGAAAGCAGTGTTCTTCAGCATGGGCTTGATTGTATCTGTGTGTATAAGACTCGGTATTTCCAGACAGGCCATTTTGTGCACTAGCTTCTCATCGTATCTGGCAAAATCATGGCAACCACGATGAAACATTCAGATCAGAAAAAACTTCTGCAGCCTTTACTGGGAAAAAATTACTAATATTAATTAAATGAAAAACAGCTCAAATCTTCCCATTCAAATTGTCAAATTTCTCACACGGGCATGAAAATATTACGGGTATTGAAAGACAAAAGGATAACTATCTTCTTACCTTATTCCCATTATACATTCATATAGAAATATAATTCCTTCTTTCTGATGTGGTCGGAGATTATTTGCAATGTAAGGATCTACAACTACATCCACCACTGGTAAACCAGCCTTATTGAACACCCACTGATGACTTGCATTTGGTCGTGGCATAACTAGAGAATCTGAAGTTCAAAGCATATGTGAGTATTGAACAAAAACATTAATTTTAGTCTGTTAGCAAAGGGTATTATTTCTTTAACTCAGCTGCAGAATAAAGTAATGATATAATGACTATTAAAGATACTGTTTAATATATTGACCATTCTCAGACAGAAAATGCATTTACAAAGTACCTAGATTGCTTTCTAAATAAAAAAATCCTTTCACAAAGGTTTTCCAAATAGTTTGCATTTTTCTCAAAGGTAAAGATGATAAACTGAGACATTTGAGGTGTTTTTTTTTTATGATGGGTAAAACTGCCTACCTAATAAATGTTGCATGATGACTTTGAATGCACAGGTTTAAACCAGAAGAAGTTCCAAAAGACTTCTGAATTGTAAGTTTAAGAAAAAGAACATAAACAATGACCTGCATAAAGTCTAGACACTACATTTCAAGGGGATATTCTTGTAGTTGCCCAGAAAAGACCTCTCTGCCTGAGAAACAGAGGCAAAAGGCACTGATGTGTTAAAGAAAAATAGGCAAGGATTGAGCATGAGCTGACAAAGGCTACCACAATGCATGAATAAAAGAGGTTGACAAGTCTGAAGACATACAGAGACAAAGAGAGCATGAAGAACTGGGCTACATCTGAATAGCACTTTTGCTTGCCATAATTTTTTTTTACAAACTAACATCCTAATTCTGCTACACAATGTCCATATTGGGTTGCTTCTATTGATGCTACACACCTTCACTGAAAAGTTGTATCGTCAGAGGACAGAATGAGAAAGCAATTTATAGCTGCTTGTAGTCTTATGTCACTAGAGTAGATCTATATTGATAATTTATTTATGTGAATAGGTTGGTTGAAGGCTTGTATCAGTCAGGGAGATCTTGTTTCCGACTGACAAGGGCCTGAGTTCTGATGGATTACATCAAACAGCAAGTGTATATATTTAAGAGCCAGTGGTGACAAAAAGATAACTTTTCTGACAAAAATTTGGATGAAAACGGGGAATAAACAAGGCTTGGGTGAGCAATGGACTAAAAGCTTAGAAATAATATGTGGAAGGCACAGCTTTACATCTTTGTCACTGCGCTTTGTTCTGCTGAGAACAGGGATAAATGACTTTCCATTTTGAAAAAGCTGCATTTTAATCAACTATAGTCATAGACTTCAACATGAAAACCTCAGACTGTTACTGTGAAGTGTCTCAGTAACTTCTGCAAGAGGTTATGCAATCAGGCATTAAATAATGTGATTCCCCTGTGTGACCAAATCTAATGACTGAGAGTCCAACCTACTGATGTGTTGAGGGCTCTCAAAATCTGTTGGG